TTTTAGAAATAGAAAATATATAAATCTATAATATATATATATATATATATATATATATATAAATTATTCATTCAAGTAATCAAATTATAACAAAATTCTATTTAAAACATTGTTAAAAAACCTATTTTATAATATGTTAAATTTTATTAACGATTTCATATTTCAATATCTTGTTAGATTCAAAACTTCATTAACAATTTAAATCTAGTACTAAAAACTTCAATATGCATGTAATATATTGTTAATATACATATTGTTAATTTTAATTTAATTTCCATGTATAGCAAGAATTTTATTTTTACATACTAAAATTTTTTAGTTGACCAATAACTACTAAAATAAACTAACTAAATAAACTACTAAATAAATAACTAAAATAGCATATTTATAATTACAATATAATTTATGAATATATAAATGCTATATATTCCATTTTTTATATAGTAATTTTTAATTAATGAATCGCATTTATGTACAAAATAAGGGCTAAACTAATTGTTATAATTAATAAACAGATACATAAATAATAAAATAGTTAACAAATAATTCGTTAGTAAGAATATTAGTTTCAAATTATTAATATTTGTTCTAAAAAGTAAAAATATTTGAGAATTTGTTTCAAACATGTAGAACCTAGAACCACTATTTTATTCATATACAGTAAATGAATAAGAAATTGGAAAAACAAAGTTAATTCGAGACTTGAATTATTCATGTAAATAACTATGAAACGACACGAAACAACATGTTTGACTTGCTACCTGTAAAATTAAATTAATTTTTAGAATAGTATATTACAATTAGAAAATATCACTAATAGGTAAAAATGATAAATAATAGTTAAAATTCATTAAGAATATAAGAGCAAATGAAGTCAATAAAAAATGTAGAGGAAAAGTAAAAAACCATTATTATAGTAATAATAAGGCATACAAATTTTAATTAAAAATTTTATCCCTATCAATATTAATATAAATATTACATTATTCTAAAAAAATAAAATATTATTGAAAAAATAACATTAAATATAAATAATTTATCACAGATTCCCTTAATTTGGATATAGAAAAAATGGTCATGAAAGTCCAAATTCTTTTAAAAACAGTTATAATCATAATTCTGTCCATAATACATATTATAAAATTAGAATGTATTATATATGTTATATTTTTTATAGTTATTATAATAAAATATAGATATTATATATTTATATTATCAATATTTTTATATAACTTTATTGTACAAACAATAAATTATACAAATAAACAATCTTTACAGAAAAAGGAAAATATTTATAAAAATTGATCAACGTTAAAATTCATAAAAGTTCGTTACACAAAAATTATTAATTGAAAAATATAGTTGGTCAATAAATAAAGTAAAAGAAATTCATAAAAAAATAATATAAAAAATGTATCTACATACTTCGTAATCATTTATGTAAATAATGTTTATACTTAATACAAAACATTATAAATTTATACTTTTCAATAATTAATTGTATGAGATACATTTTGCTATTTTTATTACTTATACAAAAACAAATTATTATTCATAATAAATACTAAATAAATAAAATTATAAATAATTGTTTATGATTAATAATATATTATGTAGAATGTATTTAAGTCTAAATATAATTCATCTAACTAAAAAGAAATATGAATTTAGATTATATCAAAATATATTAAGTTTTCTATACAGATTTTCAGTAAAATAATTATCAAAGAACATTTATAAATATTTTGAAAAATAGGATATTTTTTATTTTAGATTTAAAAAAAATATATTTCCAGAAGTAATATGCAACTTGAAAAATATGATTTTAGTACTCATTTAATGTAAAATATATTTGTTAATCCTTTTATTTTGTACTTTAATATTAAAGAGAATGTATAATTTTTAATTATAAAATTAAAAAAAAAATGTTTGTGTAATAATTATCATTAAACTCCAATACAGGTTAATAAAAACAAAAAATGGAAATAGATAATAGTAGATACTTCTTAATTAAGGAAAAAAGAAATTATTCAATAAACAAGTATATATATCTCTCTCTCTCCCTCTCTGTGTGTGTAATATTGACATTGCGCTGTTCAAAATAAGGCAACTTCAAGCACTGTGGATTGAAGCAGGTGTGGACGTAACAGATTTCTTCTTTAATCTGGTTCCAATGACAAAGGAGTCTGGACGAAAATGGAACTATGTGGTGATTCTATTCTAACAAACTACTGTTTCTTCAAGTTATCTTGTAAAATTTCATTTCCACCCTAGTGCAAGCATAGCACATTACGTAAATGTACTTTCTCTCGTTCACGTAACCCGCTCAACAAATCGATGTGGCTTGGATCGAATTTGGCGACTTGCGAAAATCTACTTGTACTTCTGAATTGATTTCTTCATTGATCATATGCTTTGAAAATTCGATTACTTCCGTTCCAACTCAATCTATCTCATTGCCTGTATGACTGTCGATCTCGATGTCTATTTTAGTCTCTCTCTCTGCCTTTCTTAATTACTTGGTCTTTATTTTGTACGAAGAAACTGAAATTAAGATTATTAAATATACAAATCTCTATATTTTATACAAATCTTAATAAAAATATGTGTAATAATGTAAATATGTTCAATAATAAAAAAAGAATACTGCAAAGTTATTTATTATTATACATATCAAATGAAATTATAGAAAACTATATTGCATATACATAAAATAAAATGTATTTAATTACACTAATTTCATCAATACTAAATGTAAAAATGATACGCAAATTTTACCAAATCAGTAGATAAAGAATAATGAAATATATTTGAAAGTAATAATCTAAATTTATGATATCTATGTATAATTTCAATTATTTTTGATAATACTAGAGTTAATATCTTATCTAATCAAAACAATTCTATCTAATCAAATCTAATTAAAACAATTTAATTGGTTTAATAAAATAATATTAGTTTTTTCTATATTTTTAAATAACATACATTCTTTAAAGATATACTATTTATGAAAAAAATGAATATCGTATGATCGAAAACTTTTCGTAATAACTGATAGACAGTACTTGTTCATAAGTTTTCTTATAATGAGTAAATACAGAAATGTATTTATTCAATGAATTATTTTATTATTTTGAAATATTGTAACTTTTTATTGATGGGAATAAATGTGTAGTTTATTTCTATATTTATAATATAATTAAAATTTATACATCCTATATTAGCAAACTTACTGAAAAAAAATGTAATGTACGATAACATTAATATATGAACTAAAAAACCTATTTTCTACATTAAATGTTTAAATTAGATTATATTTCAGTTTACTAAATACTACCTTTTAAATTCACATAATGTTATTGTTGTTATTATTATTCTGATTATTCTTCTTGTTCTTCTTTGTTTTTGTTCTTGTTCTTCTTCTTGTTCTTTGTCTCATTATTATTATTACTAATTACTATTGTTATTTTTGTTGCTAATGGTATTACTGGCGCTATTATTATTCTTTTCAATTGATTTTGATAGAATATATTAATATTATATGAAATATTAGCAATATTTTTTGTCCTTTTATTTAATTTTGTGTGGCGATGTTAATTTTCCTAAACGGTCACATTGTACAGACTATACAAACTTAATCTATTAAATATTGGAGTAGAAACATTATTTTCACAATCATTATAAATTCAATTTCACTAATTGACTTAAATGAAATACTTTCGAATAATTACTTTCATTTATTTATATATAAGAAATGAAAGATATAGATTTAGAACAGAAATGTGAAAGTATAAAAAATTGATTCTGTTTCGTAAATTTACGAGAATAGATATTATTAAATATGATCTAAAATATACAATTTATAATGAAATTAATATTGATCAATTCATTTAATTATATAAAGAATTTTTTATTACAATTTGATTATTACGTAATTTTTTATAAAATTATAAAATGTATAAAAATATTTATATAAAGATTTTTGTTTTATACTCAATAAAATCCATCTATATTAAAATGCTCTTTTCGAACAATCTATTTTCAAGCACTCAATTTTGAATCAATCAATTTTCCAACACATTTAAATGAATGATTTTTATAAATTAATTATACCTATGTATATACACACACATACATACATATATATATATATATACACTATAATGCATTGTATGAGAAAATAAAATGGATAGAGGAATAAGGAAAATAAAGGATGTGGAGAAATAAATTTATAGTTGTAGAATTGACGCATTCTTCGGGAATGTATACAATTTTAGTGATATTGGATGTGTCAAGATCTTATTGATCATACTGAAAGGTACGAACATTTGTCATTGTTGAAATACATTTTCCAACAATGTCGAAAAGTTCAATAATCTCATTCTATTATTATACATCAAATTACAATTTTTTCTTAATTTATCACTATCAAAATTAAATATGCATGCAAATTATTTCTTTTATTTAATTAGAAAAGTCAAAAGAAAAGTAAAAATAAAATATTTGACAAAATTATTTCAGATTACTATGTGTAATGAACTTTACCGATTATATTTAATATGTGTAATATAGATTATAAATTAGACAATTCGATTTTATCGAACTTTATAAATTTATATTAAAAAAAAATTATTAAAATAGTAAATGAAATTAATATTTTATATTAAAATAATAATAATTTTTACTCAATAATATAAAATCAGTTTCGATTGTATTAAACCATAATAAAAATGTACAATTTATAAAAAATAACAAGAAGTATCAAATATAATACTGAAATACGAAGAGAAAAAAAATCATAGAAGCCTTGATTAAAATGGCATAATTATAAATATTATATGGAGTTCACTTGAGTATGAATATTTAAATAATTCTTATTTCATTTATTTTTATTTATTTTTATTTATTTCATTTAATTTCATTTATTTATAATATTTGAAAAGTAACGGTATAGTTTTTTATTCATAGCATAATAATCTTGGCTTTATTCACGCTTACAGAATGTGCGGCGAAAAGCGGTGGTGGTGGTTCGGTGGTAGAACACCATCCGTCATCGTATTGGGAACCTTTCAACCAACCGTACTTCGACAATGCAACCAAGCGTGATACAACTACAACCGTTGGTCAGTCGGCTTACCTACATTGCAAAGTCCGCAATCTCGGTGATCGTGCGGTAAGTTCTATCGCCATAACTTTTTATTGCTTCATGTAATTACATCTAATAGTAGCATACTTATAGTATATATAGAAATATATATACGCAAACAGATATATATATATATATATATATATATTAGTGTGTGTACGTGTGTGTTTGCGCGCGCTTGTATACTGTTTTCCAGAATAAATAGTATTACTTATTACTTCAACTAATTACTTATTATTTACCCTTTATAATTACCTTAAATTATTCAGTTTGAATAAATATTAAAGAATTAAAGTATTATAAAAAAATAAGAAAAAAGCATAGAACTTAAAATAAATTTAAAGTTATTTATTTTACGAGTATATTAAGTTAAATAAATTTTAATTCAAGCATAGTGATACTACGTATGCCAATAAAATAATGGGGTTTTACAGTTATTTGACACTACTTACGTCAAAGTACATTTCTGTACATAGAATTCATATAATGAGGAAAACTCAAAGTATAATCCTTACATATGGTATGTTCTTAATTATTCCCGCGTACTTTCCCCACGAAAATTAGCAGAAATTTGCGTAGGAAGAAGAGTCGAGTCAGTGCAGTCATGTAAAAGGTATGAAAGTGATCATTCATTTAGAAGGGCAATTTCGAATTGAAAATATAGAACCTCCTTAATGTGGTTGCAATTCAATTTTAACAGATATCATAGTACTTACTGTGTTTTTTACCTTATTATTTTCCAATAATTATTTTTAAAATTAACAAGTACATTTTTTACATTTATTATTTTTAATAATAATAACACCACACTTTCTATTAAATTTGATATATAGAATTTATAATTATAATTTAAATACATATTCAAGCATAAAATATAATATTTATAATTTCTTTAATTATATTGAAATCAATATTTTTATTTAAACATTTGATTTAAAAAACAAATTAATAAATGGTCGAAAATATAAAATAATACTAAATGTATTTATATCACGAATTATAATAATATCATAAATTTGGTATTTTAAAATTAATTATCATTCTTTATTTAAAGATTTAATTCTTTGCAACAATGTTTTGATATCACTTTTCCTATTTCTTATCCTTAGAAGTATTATTAATTTAAAGTATTATTAATTTAAATATATTTAACTTATATAATAATTAGAAAATTTTTACTAGCTTTATTATTACATTTATATCTCTATGATTCTCTAATATAGAATAACTGACCGAATTAATCAAGAATTTTCATATTTTATTTTCATTTCAATTAAAATTATTAAGGTTTTTAAAATAAAGTATATAATGTTAGAAAAAATAGTACTTAAAAATGTTTACATTATATAATACAAAGTATCATAATATGAATTCTTAGCATATATATTAAAAAAAAATTTATAATTTATTCTCTTTTTGATTCTCTTTTTTAAAAATAAATACATAAGTCCATAATACATAAGTTCATAAATAGATCTTATAAATGAAATTTGAATGGAAGAAATTTCTTAAAGAGTTCGCTTATAATTGAAATTTTATTATCATAATGTTTATTATGATATATAATTTATTACATAATATCAACATAATAAATGAAAAAATAATTTTTATTTAAGAACTTAAAAAATGTTTATTAATTAATTTATAATGTATATATGTATATATATAAAATAAATGTATATGTATGAAATATTATATAATATTTTAGATAAAGTATAATCATAATCTCTTACTGATTCTATATATATATATATATATATATATATACGATTATGTATACGTAGATTACATACACAGCAAATTAAAAATACATATGCAGAAATTATTAAAAATGTTGTGTATAGGTGTTATGTATTTCAAAAACAATATAGTTTAAAGTATTATTTTTTTTAATTATTCATCAATACTTGTTATTATTATTCAATATTGCATATATTATTATTATTATTAGTATTTATATTCTATAATATATATTTTTTAATTTACTGTATTAATTTTTATACTATTCTCTACAGTGCAAATTATTTTAATATAATGAATAAATTATGGTCATATAAGAATAGTATTTTATATCTGTACATTTTTATGCAAACATTTTATATATAATGATATTACTATAATTATGCTTACAATGATTCAGCATTATGATAATCATACATAAGAATTTTTACGATTCATAATAATGCAATATATTTAATCTAATTACATTTACTTGTGAGATCATTTACACAAATATTTTGAAAAATAGTTTTAATAATAACTTTTACATCTTTCAAAATTCTGCACTTTAAGATACCATACGATCAAATCAGTATGTCTTTAATTATCCATTGTCATTTTATATTATGTAAAATTGTTTATATTTTACAATATTGGTTTATATCAGTCAGTAACGATAATGAAAAATAGACATTAATTTTATTTCAGATGAATTTATTATAAGTAATTATAGAGTGAATATATTCATAAGTATTGATCTTTTAAATTTTTAGCTGTATGCATCGAAATAATATTACCTGAACTTAATTACATTTAAATAGTATATGACCTTAAACCACTTCGCTATTACTGTACCTTGAAAATCTTTATTTTATTTAAGGTATGGTTCATATACAACTATTATATTGCTTTTTATGCAAATAAATCGTTCTATCTATTGATAACTTTAATTGTTTCTACGCTATTTAAATTATATTCGTATATTTCTATTGTATTTGACACAAAATTTTGTAATTTCCTTCAAACTTCTATTGATTATTTCTGTTGCTGTTATATATCTTTTCACGGTTTTTGTAATTTCTGGCCTATGTATTTTTTAAAGACTTGTTATCAGAATCAATTATAATCTTCTACGAAAACGTCCATAATTTTCATTTATATCTATACATCTATAATTTACCGTTATGAGGTATTGCTATTCATTACAGACATGACGCAATAGCAAATATATCTAAATTTATGATGCTGTTGATTGAGTACTACCTTTAACAAATAAAAATACTAATTCGATTCAGAGAATTATATAAAAAAAATTTCTAAAAATATAATCAAAATAATAAACAAATATGCATTATTGCATAGGATAGAATACGATTTAATTTAGATGTAAATCTAATAAACAGATTTCGTGATTATGATGAAAGTATACTTCAAAAATATAAAGTAAAAATTTGCAATCAACATATTACATTCAATAAGCATATATTCAGTGATATATAATGAGTATTTAGTTGTACATATTGTTTTTGATAAATAAATTCATATTTTTTAAATCTACCAATAATTTAATTCCAAAACGTTTATATTACAAATAGCAATTTAATATTAATACAATAGAGTAGAATATCAAGACACGTAGTAAAATGATGATTTTAATAACTTATTTGATTATCAATTTGAAGCAAAATTCATAATATAACAAATATCCGAATGTGATTTATAATAAATAATAAATATTTTATTATATAAAATAATTTACAGAAATTTAGAGAAGAGAACCGCAAATCAAAATTCACTTTCAATTTTACTATTTGTATAAGATAATTAAATAAAAAGGAAATTAATTAATACAGCCTATATACCCAATAAACACCATAAATTACTATAGAATATTTAGGTTATTTACTGCATGAAAATTATCTTAAATACTATAATTTGTTGCACGTTGAAACGTCTATATTACAAACAAGTACAAAACGATTAATAATCATTTATATAAAGAATCAGAACATGAAATATAAAATCGAATACTCGATAAATGTATAAAATATATTATGGAATTGGACATATAAGTCAAAAGGGGTGGAGTAAGCGAATCGATCTGGAATAGCTCGCGAATGATTAACAGATGGTTTTGCATTTATTTACTATTTTGTAGCTGGTATTGTAAATATCTACAAATGTCATAATCCATGCATAAAGATGAATTATTTGCAATTTCTGTAATGTATAGAATAGAATAGGCTTATAATAACTTTACAGTCCAACGGACTAAGCCGATCTAGATCACTTTTAATTATGGTAAGTTACAAGGGGATAAAACTCGATGTAAATTTATGAATAATTTCAACAATATTATTATGCAAGTTGTTTTACCATGATTTGTCTTTGCAAATTTTTATTCACAACTTGTAATGGTATTATCTTTTTATTAAAAACTCGTTGAAAATGTAATATAATCATTTTTAATTTAATAATTGAATGTGCCATAAGCGATTGAAAAGGTTTTATAAAATTTATTTGAATTAGAAATATAAATTAATATACTGAACGATCAACTCATACTAATCAGAACATAAAATATCTTTAACGAAAGTAAAAATGTATTTATCTTATATTTAAAGACATCAAATATAAAATATTTATATATAAATATAATCAAAGTATTGTATCCCTATATGATAAAGTATATCAATATATGACCAACAATATTATATTATAATTAAACAAATATTTATGAATTTTTTAAGTAAATGTTTTCATATTCCTTCAAATTTAACGTAATAGAAGAAAAATAGAAGAAGAAAAAAAAATATATATATATAAAGCACATTATTTTATGGAGAAGCTGCTACGAAAAGCCATTTAAATGTTGAAAAACTCTAATAGAATATTACGTATTTAAACATATAAATATTAATGTTAAAAAAACTTTTCCACATCTAAGAGCTATTCGAATTCTTAAAAAAAAACATAATATTATAGATTATAAATTGTAAGTATTAGCAACTTATGATCTTGAAAGGAGGTTTAGAAAAAATTCAGACATTTTTTTCCATCCTTAGCGAAGAAAGTTACTATTCTACTAAATCATTGAAGATGTACTGCACTAATATGAGAACATTCACGGGTAAGCTTTAATGCTTTGTATCCTATTATTTTATCACGGATATTACGCTAAAAAATTATTATCAAGTTCCTGAAGCTTGTCCAAATAAAACATAATAAATAACGTTTTTCATTGTACTATACAAATGTTACGAATAAAAAACGATCTATAAATAAATACTCATTCATTCTTATAAATAAATGTTATTTGTGATACAAGTGCCAATTTAAGAACCAAAAGTATCTATCAATAATAGTATTAAAGAAAATTCTCTTTATGTTACCTTTAGTGTCGGTTGTTTTTAAGCAAGATATTGCATCAACTTATGATACTTCTCATTAGAACAACACTCTAAAACTAGTTCAAATTTATTTTAAATACAAGTGCAAATATATAGGTTGCTAATCCGAATCGATATTTAAGGGTACTTAGATAAAGCTATATTACAATAATTGAATTCTCATAAAACACATGCAAATTTCATAATAAAATGCAACCTGCTCCTTAATATAGTAATGTACAACACATAACATGCGAAAAATAAAATTACAAAACATTGAAAAATATCCAAAAAATAGATATTTTGCTTCCTTTCGACAATCTAAGAGAAAAAAAATAAAGAAAACCATAAAATATAATAGTAATTCACGAATGTTGTTATACATGAAAAGAAAACCCTACAGGAAAATTAATACAATCTTTGGCTTAAAAATCTCAAGCCATATGGTTATAAAAAACAGGTACTTTAGAAAGGTGAATTGTTATCCTTAAATGTCTAAAATAAATATATGTTTTTACACTATAAACAGCATAATAAATAGAAAGATTTTTAAAAAACTGTTTCGTAATGAATAAAAGTATAGTCGATACAATAATGGTTCCTCCTTTTCGACGTACCTGGAAACACAAATGAACTACTACGTTAGCGATCTGCCCCAGGTTAGCCAAAGTATATAACAAAAACATCATTTATAATGTGACTTTTACAGAAAAACTATTCATAAAATTGCATTTTAATATACGAATTTTAGTGTTTTCCATTCCCACATCATTGTAAAAATTCATATATTCTTTTAAATATTGTACTGTACACTATGAATAGAAATTATAATTAGAAAATTATAATAACATGATTGGTAGCAAAAGAATGTATTTATACAGTAAAAGTAAGCAAAAGTTTGATAAATTATAAACACACTTATAAATATAACGATTAATTGATAAATTATCATGTTTAAATTGAAAACTATTTATGATTTTTTAAGTAAGTTTAAATATTTTATATAATTTTATAAATTATAACTATATTAATTTATTTTATTCACTTTATTAAATAGCAAATTATATAAAAGTTAAAAATCGTATATTTAATGTAATATAAATAATAAAATCTTCGAATTTGATTAAAATCATTATTTTTAAATGATTTAAAATAGAAAACAGTATTGTATATGTAAAACGAAATTATGCTCTCTTTCTAAATCGTATTTATCATATATATATATATATATATATATATAAAAGAAATACATAATAATAATATATATTAATAAACAATATATTATTTTATTATATAATGGCAATAATATAATATAATATAATATAATATATTAATATAAAAATATACATTATATTATATTCATGCATTGTACAAATGAATATATACAATTGTTCTTTTGATAAAAAATGAAAAAACTTCGTTTTTCACTAATTTTATATTTTAATATGATCAATCACATCACTCTGATCAATATTACCATACTTGCTTGAACGCATATTTCAAAACATACAAATTATAATCAGATGATTCAATATGATTATCAGGTTCGTATATTTCTGTTCGTATGTGATGCCTCGATAATCATGCCCTGATATAAATGGATGAACAGAAGGAAACTCAGGAGAAGGACAATCATTTCAATGATTGGATAATGACATCTGGTCGCTGATTCTCGCGCAGAATCCACAATGTCGATTCTGCAGCTTGGTGAATTTACACGATGTTCCTCCTTCTCTGTCAAATAGCCCCAATAGTTCGTTGAAATGCGCATAATCCTTGTCTTATCGTAAATCGAAGAGGGAAGCGTTTTAGCTAACAGTCTAGTCGCTCGCATATTTGAATCGTCGTATTCCATTACGGACAATAAATCCAACTACTGTATGTCGACTTGCAACTTAACACATTCTTGTTAATATAATTTATTATGAATTTTTAAATTTGCATTAATTTGTTTGAATTTAAAAATAATTAATAATTAAAATAAATTTATAATTAGCTCTGTATGCATATATATATATATATATATATATATATATATATATATATATAACAATGACATGTAGACATAATACAGAAAAAAGATAAAACACAATTAATGCCTACCATTAATTGTTAGAATTTTCCCCCGGTCAATTTTAGAACAACATATAATATAATTATTAAACATATCAAATGGAGTTCAAAGTAAAATAATTTTTTACGTTCAACAAAACATTACATAATACAGACAAATTATTGGGAAAATTAAGCAATATACCGCTTAAAGACTACAAGGAAGTAATTTTGTACTAAGTAATTCTAAAATAACAGTTTTTATACTTTATAAGTTCGTAAATTAAATTTTTTTGTATTTATTACTGACCATAAAGAACTGCAAAACTACAAATTAAATAGAAAATTATAATTTGCCCTTACATACACTTTATTAAAAAAGAAAAGTAAAATTCAATTTTTAACTATACAAACACATTTTTATATAACTTAAATAACAATAAAATAAAATAAATATATTTTATTTTATATATGATTGTATTGTAACATTTTATATTGTTTCTAATATTTTTAATATATGCTTATATATATATATATATATATCGAATTATAATTTTGAACTTTATTTTGTCTTTATTTAATATTTCTTTTACGTTAGTATTTAATATTTGTCATTGAACGTAGAATATTTTGTACAGGACGAATATTTACAAAAACTTAAACTTATAGAGATTTCTTACATATTTTATAAAGGATTATTGCATATATTTTTAGACAAAGAGAAATAGCTAGCTAACAATGAGAAAAAATACATAAAGAATATTTTCAATAAAAGCATACCTATTATGAGGGATAAAAAAAAGCTTAGATTAATGCATATTTGTAAAATCCTCACTAAATTTGACGATAGAAAATAGTAAGTTTTTAATAAATTTTTCTTAACTATGATATTTTTAACATTACGGATCCAATAAATATTAGAAAAATTATTAGAACCCAATACCACGTGATAGTGCAATAATATAGAAAAACCTGGATAAGATAGAATTAATGTATTTTTACCATATTTTATAATATTAGATTAATAAAATTAATTCTCCTCATCTTAATATAATAATTATCATGAACTAATGTTTCTTATTTCAGTTGTAATAAATGTAAAAAGATTTAAATATAATTAAAATATAATTTAGAAAAACATAATCCAAATATAAATTATAAATTATTAATTAATAACAAGATTCTCATTCGTATGTTTATTTTTCATTACCAACTATAAATAAAAAAATATATATTTTGCCTCCACCATATTATATAAAAATAAAAAAAAAAAGAATTTTGATAAGTTAGTTTCAGTTTAATTATTATTTTTCATGTATTAAAATGTATGTGCATTAAATACACAATTTATTAATAATATATAGTTTCACTAATAAATTGGCAACTCCGTCGACGAATTATTTCTATATAATGAAAATAACATATTCTTCTAAATATTTACGTTTTATAAAATATTAATAAAATACTTTCATTCAAATGAACAATATTAATTATATAATTAAACAGATTATATAGTGACGAAAATGATTTACTAAAATTCCTCCCTATTTATTATGTTTATGGACTCAATTTCAATATTAAAATTATAGTATAAAAATTGTCTAGTTGCAATTCTTTCACGATATTTTGTAAAGAATTTATAAAATAATTAAATTAATTAATTATGTGTCAATAGGTATCGTGGATAAGAAAACGCGATCTGCACATTTTAACAGTTGGTATTCTAACATATACGAATGATCAACGTTTCCAGTCCTTACACAGTGATGGTACCGACGAATGGACACTTAAAATAAGTTCGCCTCAAGTTCGCGACAGCGGCATCTATGAATGCCAAGTTTCGACAGAACCCAAGATTAGTTTAGCTTACAAGCTGAGTGTTGTTGGTATGTAATTAATACATAATGTACAAATACAAACACATAAGAAACCAGTAAATTTTATGTATTACTTCTCGTTTTGTTATTAATTTTATTAAAAAAGTTTTCTGCAATTAAAACCTACACAAAATTTGAGTTTAAGTGAATTATTAATAGATTAAGAAACTCGTATATGTACTAAAACTTTTAATAATAACTTATTGTTTCAAAAAAGCTTGCATAATGACTCTTGAGTTTCGTGACATTATTAATTGCTCTCAAAATAACTTATAATTGTACTTTTGACGAGGAAGCTGATTAAGATTATAAAATTTTGATTAAATTATGTAATATAAATAAATATAAAAATTAATATTAAAGTTATAATAAACTGTTGTAATATTAAAATATGAATTTCTTTATATAAAAGCGAAATATATTAATAATTATTGTAATTGATTCATAATCTTATATACGAAGTAAAATAAAAATTTCAGAACAATAGTCATATTAATTGATGTAAAATCTACTGAAACGAATTTTTGTATTTTCTATAATTGTTGCCTATAAATATTTTCATTGTCCTATTATGGATTATTAAATTATTCTATTTTATTTTTGAACTGTATACGTTTCTAAGATAATTATACTTTTACATGCATTCGAACTTTAATTTTTATATGTTATTGAATTGAAGAAGAGATATTTTGATTGCTCTTCAAGAATAAGCTGAACCTTTTAAATATTATTCTAAGATTGATATTAAATTAATTATTTATTAAAAGCTATGAATAATAACTACATATACAACTTAATGAATTAGTAAATGGAAGGATTAAAAAATAAAAATATCTCCAAATATATAAATTTTTTGTATTTTCTAAAAAAGATAAAAATTACATTTCATAAAATTATATAAATTAACTGCATTTGAATAATATTGACTATTATGTAAATATACTAATTTAAACAGTAATACGACATAATCTATTTAAATTAAAATTGATATATTTTTTTACAGTTTACTTGCATAAAATATTCAGATTATAAATATGCTACAATCATGTTTAAACAGAAATCGGACTAAGTATTTCTCCTTTTTCAATCATTATAATTCACGAAATAGTAAGGTATACAATTGTTCCTGAAACATAAAATTGAATTTAAGTAGATTTTCGTAATTCCATTACCTACACGTAATTCTTTCCATAAAGTACTAATGATAAAATTATACTTCAATATATAAGTGAAATTAATTTATTCTTTTTTAACTTAAGATGTAAAAAATAAATCTGAAAAAATAAACTGATAATAATTTTATTAAAATTCTAAGAAAGTAAGCTAATAAAAGTCTATTTTTAATTATTTAAATTATTACAAAAAGCAGATTCATTTTTATGCTTTGTTGATTTGCTACATAATAAATGTCGGCAATTTTTAAAAATAAACAATGTTTAAAAGTTTGAGAACCTTGCTTAAAATTTACTAATTCAGTTTCAAAATGTTTATAAATAATTTTAACAAGTTGATGCGAAGGGCTCAATCAAATTTTTTTTAAACGTATGTATACTTTAAAACAACTTTAATACATGTAAATGATTATTCTAATATGATTAAAAATTTCCGCATAAAAATAATAATTAAAAGCATCATTTTATTGACAATTGTCTATCGAAACTATAAATTTTGTAAAAAAAACTTGAGAACATCGTGATACAAGATGGGTGCGTTAGCTCTTCCCATACCGAAAAGTTCAAAGTAATTAGCGTACAAATGAAAACTCTCACCATCCCTTATTTAACGTGCATCATATCTTCATCCCATTCTCTTTCATAATGAAAATGTCTACACTTACAGTGTCAAAAGCGAAAATCCTGGGTAACGCGGAGCTTTACATCAAGAGTGGTAGCGACATCAACCTGACCTGTATTGTGCTGCAGACACCTGAGCCTCCGTCCTTCATTTACTGGTGAGTTTAATTGTGTAATAAAACTCATAAATTCCAATACTTGTTAAAGATTACAATTTCAATCATTGACTTAATTCTAATAATACTATTACTTATTTAATTAACTTGAGAAATATAATTTTTTATTCATTACAAAAAAAAAAAAAAAATTAAATAAAACTAATGAATTGAATTTTACACTAACTAATCTTAATTATTCATGTAGTTATTAAATTTATTTATACACTATATTAATTTAGTCAATTGTGTGAGGCTATTATATCTAAAGATTAAAGTACCAATTATTGGAACATCGATTTCAACACTTTATTAGCTAGGATAACAAGTTAAGATTTAATTAATTAAAAATGTCAGAAAAGAATTTCATTAATCCATCAAAATAAAAATTGAAATTGTTTGATAGATTTGTGTATCATTTTTAATATTATTAAAAACTAAGATATTAATAGTCAGCTAAAAATTAAATCATGTATATAAAATTGAAAATATGTCAATAATATATATCGAAGATTAAAAAAATAAATAACATAACTATTATTTAATTATTTTATTTAAGTATTAATTAATATTTGTAATTATATTGAACTTCAAAGTTATAGTAAATTAAAAATAATAATTCAAGAATGATTACAACATTCGAATTTCATACAGACTTAATTACTTCATTTATATATGCTATTAAATTACTTAATTATTTCTTAATTATGAATAATATGAAACGTTTTTAAAGCACTGTTTCTGCTTTATTTTAAATATATTTAATTATCATATTAGCTATAAATTCAGAAAATTGATTGCTATTCAATATTGATTATTATTTAATGAATATAATTTTTCAATTAAATTTATTAGTTAGTTAATTACATTATGTATTAATAAAGTTTATAACTACTTATCGGCCACGTAAAATTGCTACAGCTGTTACATAAATTTCTACAGATTTAAATTAAAGAAAATTATTTATAAATGTCAATTAAATTTGATATCACTCTAATCTACTCTTATTTTAATCTGGATAATACATGGGCTATCTTATAAATATTTTAGTTATAATATATCATTTAATATTCGTATTATGTGGTATTAGAGCTTCAAGTTAAAACTCCAATCAATACGTTTATTGAAATATTTAGATATGAAGTATAAAACTTTTATTCTTTTAAAATTTATAAAAAAGGTTATTTATTTTATTACTCTATATAATCTTTGAAATGAAAATTATTGATTTTTACCAATTAAAGAACTTACTACCGCAATAATATGTTGACACATATCCAGAATAAATGGTTTTATCGCGCATATTAATTTTTTTCCTCTCGTGTATACCTATAGTGATAAGTGGAAATATATACAATCACCTTTTGAATATACTATTGCTTTAATTGCACCTTCTTAAATAGTGCTTAATTCTAATAAAGCAAACGTAATTGAAACATTAATAATTGCAACTGTATTATTTATTCTAGTTATTATATACACTTTCCTTTGAGAATGTACAAAACATTTGTAACAATTACGTAACCTTAATCGAGATACCAACTGCCTGTAATCGATCGTACTACATTCACCTCTTATCGTTAAGGTACCATCAACACTAGTTTCCACTAAGCTCAAAAACATTGTTCGCCACAGCTTAGTCAAGATCTTTCATCAGAGTCGGGAGATAACTATATGTCAGCATAGACGAGACAGTGCCACAATTACGTTAACGACATTCGTTATAAAGAAGCCAATGCCCAATATCGGTGCCCGGAAGCATTGACTCAGGAAAAATTTAGAATGAACTATTTATGCTAGGTTAAATGCTATAATAAGAAAATTAGAAGCTTACTATTAGTTGTGTTAAATCCAATCAATGTTTTTTGAAAAGAGATAGAGCATTCGGACTAAACTATCTAAATAAAAATTAATGTCATTAAGTAAGCCTGCAGGCTGATTAATTTTAAGCTTGAAGAAAACCACCTAATATAAATTCACTATTAGATGAAAGAATATTGCTTTAGTCGATGAAATTAACCGCTAGGACCCGAAAATTACATTATTGTATTGCGTTAACGAGACACTCGAATATGTGACGTACTGAAAAAGCTTGGATAGGATTTCTTTTTCTTCGGCTTGTATTTACGTATATTTTTAGATTTATGGATTTCTATATATAAGATTAAATGTATAGTACAATGCTTGATATACCAAATAAAATCATGAAGATGAACTATTTATTGTTCATAAACATAAAGTATCAAAAAATTTTGAACTTTAACATTTTCAAGTCCATTATTAAGAAACACAGAAATATATTTTGTCTTATTTAACCAATCCAATTCGGATTTCAGAATTTTGTAAAAAATTTTTGTTATTATTTAACTGCTTTTTTATGATCAAACAGTTATTATGAATTTACTGCTTATGCATTAACCCTCAACATAAATTAAATCCAATTATCTTACTCATTCCATAGAATATATGATGAAATATCTTCTATAAACAGTCCAAATGAATCAAAGTTGATTAGTAATTAACTTCACACTTGATTAGTAAGTCAATGAAAATAGACATTTAAAGCTATTCTCGAATCCTTTTTGAGATAATTTCAGAATATACATTTGCATACTCTTTAGAGAGGCATTTTTAACAACTTACTTATGGCTTATCAGTCTATATTGAAAAGAGTGCGTGTAAATATGTAAAAGACTAATAAGTAAATTACATATAATTTCTTATAAGGTTTAATATACCAAATTTATCAGTATTTCTATGTAATATAATGTTATAAATATTACATACAAGAAATTGAATGAGATTCATATTTTAAAAATATAAAAATTACTTGTATAGTCTTAAATTTTATCAGTAAGTAAGTCTTCGAATAATATCACATATAAACATCTTAAAAACTTTTTATCTTAAAAATATTGACAAAAATAAAGCTTATTGATGTAAAGGAGTTGCACTAATACCTACAATTAAAACAATCCATTATTATAACTTTATTATTTGTATAAATACCAAGCTCAATTCGATGAAATTTAATGATTTTTTCATAATATCGCTTGTTATTAAGCGATTTGGACAAATAAGAATTTATTAGCAATATTATTAGTAATATCGAATTATGAAATTCAATAAAGTTTTACTTCAATTTACAGGCTATATTGTTTTTACATTAGGAATTATTTGAAATTATAGAAATAATAGAAATATTTCGATTATTTTATAGGTATAGGGGTGAGCACGTAATAAATTACAGCCAACGTGGCGGGATCAGCGTCGTTACAGAAAAGCAGACACGGACGTCCCATTTACTGATCTCTCGTGCACTCCCAGCGGACTCGGGCAATTACACCTGCGCCCCGTCGACGGCTGAATCGGCTAGCGTCCTTGTTCACGTACTTAATGGTGAGTGAGTCGTTCTGTGGTTGTTCTTCCCACCCTTATCCAAAGTGGACTCTTATTTGTCATGATTTTCCACCCATACACCATATATCGCCTGCATGTACATAAAACAAACATTCTTCTTGCGGTTTACAATATTATCTTTTTCAATAAAGGCTTCTTTGTTCTTCTTTTTATTTTTAGTGCATCATTTTTTAATATATCGAATAAAGTATAATAGCCAATCAGTGAATAATTTATATAACTAATCCATTAAATAAATAGTTGCTACTTATATCACTCTATTACTCAAAGTCAATGGCAAGTTATTTAATAAGATTGTTGAATTTACAGTCAACTTTATTGGTAATTTAGTAAAATTGGATTTAAATTCGATATTACTGTTATTGAGAAAATTGTTTTTATATTCCGTACAATTTTCTCAGCTATATTATTGAATACTGTTGTAACTTATCTAAAAAATATTAGATTAAGTAGATATTTTTCAATTCTAGATATTATTGTAAAAATCTGAAATTAAAAAAGGAGATATTAAGTATTCAATAATGAAAGTAATTATTTTTTTTTTAAAGAAAATATACAATTATTTTAACTATCCAAAAACATTCCGAAATACATCAGTGATAGCTTATTTTAGTATTCTCAGTTATTCATAATCTTTTCTCTCATGTAATATTAAACTGATTAAAAGAATTTTATTATGTATTTTTGTAATGATTGAATATCAACATAAATGACATTACGATATACTTGACTATTATTCATCAATTAATTATAATTACACTATAATATTGAAATATTAAATTAAAAATTATTCGCAAAAATAATTGTTTTTGTCTGGTTAGAATAGTATTAGGTTATTTTAAGTAAATTATTATATTTGAATTATTAAGAATATTTTAAAGAATAAACGTATAATGTCATTTAAAGCACTCCAATAGACTTTAGAAATAAGTCTATATTAAGTTAACATCTTCGCATTAAATAATCTCTTCAAGAAATCACTCTTACAGATCGTTTAATAAGCTAAGCTATGAAAAGTGTCACCTATATCAAGGATCTGTACATCCGTATATACATAATAGGGATTAAGAAATCTATATAAATTCATTTCACGAGCAAAATCAACTAACTAAAATTTCCTCCAAATATTAGATCAGTTTCGACAAAATGTGATTTATTCACTGAAAGCTTTGTTGAATTTCCATATTGTACAACTAGGCCCTACCCAATATAATGAAACTCAGCGATTTGTAATAACTAATATTCTAAAAATTTTCATTTTTAGAAAATATTGAAAAATATCTTAAAATTAAATGACATAATTAAAGTAATGAACTTCAAACGGAAGAGTTATATTATACAATATTATAATATAATGATAATCTATTGACATTTAATAAAATGTATAAAAAAATATATAACGTTATACTCGCGAATTTATACAAATATGAAAAAATACAATATGAAATTTCTATGAATGTATACCATGTATTAATTAGACAACCTACATTTTCTTAATTCGAAGGGTTTTTTTATTTTAAATCAAAATTTTTAATAGCACGAGATTTTACAATATATACATATATATATATATATATCCAGATTTGCAATTCGGATAAGAGCTGCAATTGATAAAAGTTATTTACATAATTTTATTATTTTAGACATTTAGATTAATTTAAACATCACTATGTATTGTATTTACCATTATTGCGCGAAAGACAGTTAAATGCGAACGATTATTAATTAATAATTACTTATCACACATTAATTTATGCATTATATTTGATATAGTTGAATTCATTATATAATTACGTAATTAATATGTCTGTCGTAAATAATTAATTCCTAGTAGGATTAGTTTCATAATTTTTATTATTTTTATTAACGAATAATGAAATAATTAAATTTTATTATAGCTACAACAATCTCAAATAAAAAAATTATACAAAAATTTTTTAAATATTAAAAATGCATGTTAATAGTCTATATAAAATTAATAAAACTTTTATATTACAATGAATGCAATATACAAATGGAGAGACGAGATTTAATATTATTAAGATAAAACTATAAAGATATCAAGATAAAATCGAGTTAAACATTGTATAAATATAAAAGTTTTAATCACTATCAACGTAATTAGAGAAAGTAATCAATTATTATACATATATTATATAAATACGAATATTTGAATATAAATTGTCTTTCAATTAATACGTTTATTATAAATTGGCAAACATCGGATAGCCATGAAGAATTATCGCTTTAAGAACGATATAATAAACAATATTTTTATAGTCAATCAATAGTTAATTTTAATATCAATAAAATATTTACATAAAAAATTTTGAATATTCACTACTTATTAATAAATACAATCAAATATTTTCTTAAATTAAAATGAAAATATAAATTAAATTTAGAAATTAATTTTTAGAAAAAAAAAATTTACACCATGTAATTGATTATTGACAGAATGTAACAGATCTCATGAAATAATAATTAAATAAATCACTAGTTTTTAAATATATTTTAATATAAAGTACAATTTTATAATCATTTACAATACGTATTATATCTACTCAACCACACGTATATTTACACCTAATTATATCAATAAAGAATTTCTAAGCAAATTTTATATACTACAAAAATAAAATAACACCATCTAATAAAAAGGCTAGATTTTTTCTCATTTATATACATCGATATCTATTAAAAAAATATATATTATGTACAGCTGTACATAATCTATATATTTTTTAGTTTTTAAAATGATGTAACTACTATCCAACTTTATGTTTGTCGTAAATCTGGTAGATAACTTTAAAGTAAATAATAAAAAATATAAAAGAAAAGAGAGAGCTAGAAGATTGTAGATAGTACATACAAAAAAACTAGCAATCAAGAAGCCATTATGAAGTTCCGGATCAAGTCATTGTATACGTAAGGGTAGTTAGAATAAAGTTATATTGGTACTTAGTTGTATAAGATTCGGTTTGAATATGTTTTTACATTTGCAAAATTAACAATGCAGCAAATATTGAGAAGATGCGGTATAAAATCAGTTTAATTATTTAAAGCACAACGCAAGAAAAATATAAAAAGTAAATGAACATTATATAGAAGAATACGTTATTAAATATAGATAGAGTAATACGTAACAATTAGGTAGGTTACTGTGTAACTGAATAATCAATACTTGTATTAATTTTTTATTAATATTTTATTATTTATTAATTAATAATAATTAATTAAATTATTAATTAATAATAATTAATTAAATTATTAATTAATTCAAAAATCAATACTAGTGTCTTAATTTTATTTCAGAAGTAAAAAATATACTTAAATATATGAAAACTTTATATTTCAATGAAAAAACTCTCAACGTTTATTATGGAAATAGATATTATTTATAATTACTTACTTAAATATGTTGACTATACTAAACTAAAAAAGTTTCGACCTTTTTATACGAGTAGGGCCTTACTTATTTAAATTATTTCAATTTTCAATTATATATTCATTGTAAGATACTTCTACAATTTCATTAACCTGCCTGCTATGTATTGATCGAAAATCTTATAAAAATGTATTTTCATTGCATATAAAACCAATTTCTATACTTTAACATAAATCAATTATATTTACATTTATGTGTGTGTGTGTGTGAGTGTGTGCGCGCGCGCGCGCGTGCGTGCGAGTGTATACCACATATTTGCATAAAAGAACTCGGATTTTCCTTCCCTAACATAACTATACTTTTTTGTTACTTAAGACTTTTCTATTTTATACTATTTTTTTAATTTGAAGCTCTTAACATTTTTTCAAATTATTATATTTGTTTATTATTATGTAGTATTTATTATTATAAAAGGATGGAAACCTGTAATTAAACATATTTGAAATAGGCCCATTGATGATAATTCAAAAAATATTTATTAGTTTAAAGCTACTATTCTAATATTTCTTAGAACAAGCGATTTTGTTTAAAAAATACATTTCAAAAGATATTTCTAATATTTTAACTATTGAATTAATGATTTATCAATAAAATGTTGATCCATCATTAAACTTTTAAGACAATTAAGTAAAAACTGTGGACCATCAATGGGGTACGCAATTTGAAGGAGATAAAAACAATTTTACCAGCCAGAAAGCTAATAATAACTGCTTTTTAAAATAAACTATTAAAAAATGTATAACTATAACGGAGAAAAACATAATATGAACATATAGACTGAAATTAGGAACCACAAAAAAGATTTTATTTTTAAAAGATGAAAATATTGTTTCACCGATGTAACACCAAAAAACCCACTGACACGTATTAATAGTCATAATTCATGAATTTCAGATAAAACTGATTCATAATCCTCTGTAATAAGCAGATCTAATGCGTGACAGATACATATTTGTTTCTACCTGTATGGACCAGAATATATGAGGTGCAAAGAGATATTAAAGTACGTGAAAATAAATGTTAGATAGTGAAAATCAACGTACAAAGTGATAAATTAAGTAGTTAAGTCAAGTAAATGAAAATAAAAAATAAATAAAACTAAAAAACATTATATAAAAAATAATATAAATAATGGGATAAACAATGAAACCAAGAAATAAAAATATAAAAGAAAAATCACAGATTTCGAGCATTCTTAAAATCATAAAACTGAAAACTTCTAGAGAAATAAGAAAAATAGAGTATCAAATTTAAGAAAATGGAAGAAATCATGGTTGATAATTATTATTTATATTAAAGTTTAAATTGAATAGTTAATTCCAATATTTGAGTATAATGTAATCTAAAAGTATACAAACTATATTAGAAAAAATACTCGAATTGTCGAAGTAGAAGTAAAAGATTATGAGAGAAAAATTAAAAGATAGTAGAACAAAACAGCAACGGCTAGAATAAACAAAAAAGATACTCATAGCAAGTAAGAAAAGGCTGGTCTTACTTCTTATATGCGAACGTATGGTTTATGTATTTG